AGAGTGCACTGGGGTGAGGGGAGCAGCCCTTCTTCACACGTGTGGCTGTTTGTACATGTTAAGGTTTCCCAGTTGTCTTCTACTGGGATTTTCAGCTTCTGGAGTGCTGATGCCTGGGAGGCTGCTCTGGTCTCAGCTGCTGCTGGATGCAGATCACGAGGGCTGGGCTCTGTCTGTGGTGCCATTTGAGAGGGAGCTGCTGTCCGGCCTCAGTCCGGAGGGTGAGCTTTAACGTGCTGCCTGTACATTGCAGACACAGCAGAAGGAGACACTCCTGAAGCCCACAAAGGACCAGCAGTTTACAGTCCTTCTCGGTACAGCTACCAGGTAAATGCTTTCATGTATTATCTGCACATTCTGAAATAAAACCTTTAAAGAGATAAGAGGGGAAACTGGCCTTGGCTCCCAATTGTTCCCTGCTGCACTAAGTACCTTCATCATGAGAAAGAGGTAGGAAACGTGAAAGTCAGTCTGACATGCCTTTTCTTTTTTTTCCCCACGCCTTGTTCAGCTGCTGCAGTCTGACAGTCCCCAGGCGGAATCACAGACCCTGCTCCAGCAGAGCTCCTCCCCATACAGAGGGCACCTCGCGCCGTCTCCTGGATACAGCTACCGAGCAGCAGCACAGAGGACAGGACACAGCCTCTCCCATGGTTCCTCAGAAACATCCCTCTCCTCCACCTCATACTCCAGCCCTGCCCACTCGGTCTCCACAGACTCCTCTGCCCTGTTTGCAGGGACCTCGGGGTATTTCAGCAGCCAGCAGCACTCTGGCAGCGTCAGCAGCAGCCTCCTGAGGAAGAGCTGCCCCGCGGCTGCCAGCCCGGCACAGCAGACGGCTGTGGACTCTCTCTCCTCCGAGTCGGGCTCCCAGCCCTGCACGGGCGTGTCAGGCTCCTCCTCCGCTCCCCAAAGTGCTCGCTCACTACAGTCAGACTTGCGGACTATCAGTCTGCCCAGCTCGGGGCAGTCTGTGCTCTACCAGGGCTCCCGGGGCGCAGTGATTTCCAGTGCACAACACTATCCGCACCGCGGGGGAGGCAGTGTCCACCAGTACAGACTGCAGCAGCTTCAAGGTTCTGGAGTAAAGACTCAAACAGGACTTTCCTAGGACTGCCTGGACTCCAGGAGGACAAAACTGCCCATAGCTCCTTCCAGTCACCTCTGGAAGTGGCTCCTGGGCCGGTGTTGGGAGCTTGCACCTGATGCTGGGGTGCCAGGGGTCAGAGGCTGAGGTCTGAAATGCACGGGTGAGATTTGTGAGCAGTATTGGCCTCTGGCCTGGTAGGAGAATGCAGATTTCTCTGAAGCGGAGACTGTAGCAAAGCAGTTCCCTGATGCGTGGGTACATTGCAAAAACAGAAACAAAAACAAAAAGGAAAAAAAAAAAGCAAATGGTTCAAGTGCAATGACTGTGGCACAGCCTCTGTCTCTGGTCCGTGCCCGTGGCCACAGTCACTCATGCAGCACGGACACCATTATGAATTTGAAAGCAGTTTAAAGGAAACGTTGGGGGAAGTTAACTCCAATCTCTTTATAGGTCAGGTTCTCAGTGCGTTCTGGGGAGGGCTTTAATCCGTTACGATCATTCCAGTCACAAGCAGACGAGCGCACACAGCTGCCTTTGGGCCTGGGTCACCACTGCCACTGTCAGAGCTTTTCCAGACAACAGTCTCTACAAATGTGAACTAGCACGGGAGGGGCTTGGAGCATGTGCCTGTCGCTGCAGAGGGTCTGGGGTGCGCTGTCATGTGCTGCTTCCTTGTAGGGCTGTCGTGAACGAGTGTTCTAAGGTCGCTTAAGGAGTCTGTGAGCAGGAGCACGGCCGAGGCTGTGCTGTCACGTGCTGCCGTGCCGGGGGTCTCTGGCTCCTGATGTGGAGACACAGGGGGGGTGACTGGGGGCCAGGTCAGTCAGGTGATGCTGTGGTGCACGGAGGCTGCAGGCGGAGGAGCGGGGGCTGCCGAGGGGCGGTGCTGGGGCGTTGGGTGCAGACCCCGGGCTGTGCCGAGCCAGAGGCTCTTGGGGCAGTGCTGTGCTGATCCCAGCTGCCGTAACCCACCGAGCATGGCAGGAGAGCCAGCCCAGACACAGTGCGCTGTCTGTTCAATTCCATACGATTGCCAGCTTCTTTCTCACTTGTTTACTGTAATATCGGGCGTGTTTTTATTTATCTAATTTTATATTCAGTTATAACCATAGTAGGTTAGCTAATATATGACAGGTGTCATCCCTGGTGCTGCAGTGGAACTTCTCCTTTCTCTTGGATAACATAATGCTGTGAGTCTGTCTCCCCTGTCCTTTCAGATGCACAGTCTTCTTCCTCTTTTTTTAGGACTGTTACAGGTTTCTCTAATTCACAATTGAAATCAGGTGTTTGTTCAGCCTAGGGGAGACTTTTAAAATATTGAAACAAAGAGTAACTTTCTCACACTGTCTGGCTGTGAGCGTGTTGGGATGGAACTTGTCACCCCGCAGTTGGGTGTCTGTATACTGTATAAAATAGGTGTAAACTTCACTTGGCTTAGCCCTGGGAATGCAGCCTCCCCTTTCGTGCTCTGAGCAGCACGGGGCAGGCAGGCTCTGCCCTGCCAGGCAGCGGGAGGGGGCCAGGGGGGCCCTGCCCAGAGGCTCCAGCACCTTTGGGCGCAGCAGGGGGGCAGGAGGGAGGGACCCTGGAAAGCTCTAGGAAAGGTGGGGGCTGTAGCTTCTTACTCTAGTGGAGTTTTTACACCATGCTGTAACATTTGAACTTTCACAAGAGATGTAATAATTTTGATAATAAAAATACTTAACTTGAAAACTGGTATTTTAGGGGTTCTATTTCCTTACCACCTTGAGCCCAAGATATGGGGTGAGGGGGTGGGAGTATACTGGTCTCCCTTCCTTGTCCTTGCAGGGTAAACAGAGGAGCAGCCTTGCAGACCTCCCTTCTGCCAGCATTTCGTGTGAAGCCAGAGGCTGCTTTGGGAGCTGCTGTTCCTGAGGAAATTCCCTGAGGTTCTGGCTGGAGTTTTGGGATTGTGGCTGCGCTGCTGTTCTTGCTCCTCATCTTGGGAGGAAATGGTGTAGAGGATGTCCCCTGCACCACTGCACCTGCTTCAAAACCTGGTTTCTGGTGTGCTGGTAGCCAGGGTTTTCATGTTGTTTGCCTTTTCCTTAGGAAGCCTGAGATAGGCTGAGCCTGGAGTGGGGCCTACAACGTGTTGCCTGCAAGTGCTGGTCTGAGGTGTCCATGGCTGGTGTTTGACTGCCCTCACCATGAGAACATCCCCCCTGACACCTTTTGGGACGGTGTCTGCTGTGGCTTATCCTCTCCCTGTGCATCCCCCAGAAAAGTCTGATTTCATCTCCTGTACTGCTTCCCAAAAGCAACTGTGAGCAGCACCAACCCCCCACTTCTCTCCCAGCAGCTGACCCAGCCCACCCTCAGCCTGTCCTGCCATCTGCCAGTGCAGGGCTCACCCATGCTCTGAGAATGTCCTGTACCAGCGAGGCCAGAGCTGGCCAAAGCTCTCCAGATGTCCAAGAGTTCCCCATGCTGCCGTCACACAGCCTGGAATACATCCCTGCTCCTCTACCAGAGCATGCCACTGGAATGACCGGCCACGTAAGTTGTTTTTTTCCATCAAGACACTAGAATTTTATGAATTTTAGGAGGCTGCTATCAGCCTGTGTCTGCCTGTGAGCTGACAGACCACTAATGGTGCACAGTGAGCAGGCAGAAGGGAGGGGCTCAAAAGCTCCTAAGGATGGATGGGATCCCTGCCCCACCTCCTGCCTTGTCAGGAGTGGGACCCTTTCCCTGGGGACTTGCTTTGGCCAGAGCTCCTCTTGTGTGCCGGCCCATGTGGGTGGAGGCTCAACCCACAGGGCACAGGGAGGGCTCTCCACCCTCCCTTCCCCACCACAGCTTGGACACCATGTGGGGTCCTTTGACCTCCTTGCAGACCACCTCCTCTGTGTCGGCAGTGCCGGGAGGAGCCCGTCCCAACCCTCCCCACACCACAGGGCTCCGAGCTCGTCTGGTTTGAATTATATTTTTCAATAAGGTTTTGTGAAACACTGTATCAAACTTTGTACTAAAATACAGATATATTACAGCTACTGTATTCCTTTCTCCACTGATTTTTCTTGGTTTGTTTTTCCAATTCAGCTGGCAACAGCACTCACAAGCTGGCAAGGCCCGGGTGCTGCCAGGGGCAGGGGGTTCCTGCTGACCTCGTTCCAGGGGGGCAGCTGCCGGAGGGATGTGGGCACCACCAGGCTCGTGGCACCCACGCCGTCCCGGGTGACTTTGGCTCCCAGATGGTGTTTTGGCACAGCTCCATCCCTCACCGCCACCCTGCAGGGCCTCAGGGCACCACTTACCTGCTCCCACCAGCCCCTGGTGCCCGGTGAGGCGATGGTTCCTGCAGAGTACTTGATGCCATCCCTCAGCAGCCTGCATGCTCTGTGGCCCCATCCCGGGACCCACTCTGCTCCCTGCTCCCCGGCCTTGCCCAGTGCCTGGGTCCAGCCCTGCCAGGGCCCCCTGGGGGCCCTCCCCTGCCCGAGGCCCTGCGAGGAGCTCCGGCTGCTCGCACTGAGACGAGGCCAGTGCTGAGGACTTTATTGCATTGCGAGGGCTGCGGTGACCCAAGCCCCCGTGGCCAGGGGAAGCCCACACGCACCGGTCTGGCCAGCAGAGCCACAGCCGGGCTGCGGCCGCCCGCGCCGGGTGTGGGTGCCGGCTCTGGGGTGCTGTGTGGGGGCCATCGGGGCCGGACAGCTGCCCCCGGCTCCCCGCGGGACCGCGAGGTGCAGCCAGGAGGCCGGGTGGGCACAGGAGGGCTCGGGCATACCCGGCCACGCCGTCACCAGTGGAGATAAAGCACCGTATGGGGAGGGAAGGCGTTTGGCAACAGCCCGCGGCCGGCTTGGGGAGGGGTCTGGCGGGAGGCGGGGGGTCCTCCTGCGCCCGCCCAGGGGGATTTGCATGTTCAGCTGCTCCCACTTACCAGGGCTTACATTCAGCGGCGGAGCGTGTCGGGTGTCCCACAGCCGGCAGCAGCGAGGCCCCGGCGTCCCCGGCCACACGCTAGGAAACACCGCGTCCTGGGGCCGGGCTCCCGGGGTGGGGGGCGAGGGGGCTCGAGTCACTTTACCCTGTTTAGAGAACATGAATTTACATGTAAAAGTAGGGGTTGGGCCCTATCCCGGCCACCGGGTCCCCTGGCCGTGGAGACAGGATCACGGAGCTGTACAAAATGGGAGTGGGGAGGGGTCCGGGACCCGGAGCAGCCGGCACGGGGCGTCACTGGGTGCGCGTTCGGGTGGGAGGCAGCGGGTCAGGAGTCCTGGGGATGTAGAAATCTGTTAAAAACTCCGAGACTGTTTTTTCCTTGAAACAAAACCGCAGTTGGATGCTGTTCTTGAACGAAGCGCGTTTGAGGCATCCTCCCCCGGCGGCGGCCCGCGGGCAGCGCGGGGTGCGGAGCTGGCAGGGTGCGTGGGATGGCGGTGCCGGCGTGGACATGGAGGTGGCCGTGGATGCGGCGGGCGGGCGGCGCATCCCTGGCGCGGGCGGCGGGGCCCGGGGGGCGGCGCGGGACGCTGTGTGGCCGCTGGCAGCAGACGAAGGGCAAGAGAGGGAGGGAGCGCCCAGGCTGCCGGCCATGGGAAGAGGGTCCTGCCGCGGACGGTCGGCCTTATATCCTCTGCGGGGAGAGCACAGCGGGACGGGGACGCTGTTGGGCAGGTCTTATTGCACCATCGTGCCACCAGCACATGCCTGTCCCCATCCCTGCCGCGCCCCACCCTGTCCCTGCTGACTCCCTTCCCCATTGCCCCCAGCCTCGCTGCCCGCACAGGCAGGGTTCCCCCATCCCAAGCCACGCAGCACACCCAGACACGCCACACAGTCAGGGCCAGGGGACAGGACAGTGACACTCAAGACTTACCGCAGTGCCAACAAAATCTGTGGAAATAGAAGAGACGGGCGTCAGGCAGGACAGAGGCTCGGCAGCCCACTCCCACCCTGCCCAGCCTGCCCTGCTTTGTAGGTGGGAGTTAAGCCCATGGGACCCTTTCCAGGGTGCTGGAGGGGCCAAGCCCCCTGGGCTGTTCCCACCCAGGGTACCCCCAGGGTCCCGGGCCCCTCGGCACTGTGGCTCTCACCTTTGCTTTCTGTCTTGAGCTCCTCGTGCAGCAGGTCGTTCTGCCGGTTGCCGAGGACAAAGGCCAGGAAGGAAAGGATGAGGGCGTTGAGGATGCCGATGATGGCCAGGATGTAAGCCCAGCGCACGGAGCAGTCGCCCAGGGAGTATTTCCCTGTCTTCTCCCCGCACATGTCCCGTATGGTCTCTGCATCCCAGCCGTCAGGAAAGATCATACAGCCCAGCACCAGGCAGAGCGCTGCAAGGGGGAGAGGAGGGAGGCATCAGAGAGGACAGGGGGTGGCAGTGCCAGGCACTGAGCCCCCCAGTCAGTGCATGAGTGCAGCCCACACCTAGCAGGGAGCCCATCTGGGCCCCACGACAGCCAGGTGACATGGCAGGTGACAGCCACTGCTGCCCCAGCAGCCCCAGGGACTGGGTTTGCACGTGGCTGCCCCAAATCTTGCCCATGCACAAATGGGAATTTCAGGGTCTTGGTTTCTTACAGCATCAGTCACAGGATCAGTGGTTCCCCATGGGCTTTCCTCATCACTGCAGACTCCCTGCATGTGGGCAGGAGCCACCAGGCAGGAGCTGCGGGCAGAGATGCTGCATGCTGAGAGGATCATCATCCCCAGGAGCCCCTGCACCCAACCACCACCTATCCTGCAAGCTCTGCTCCCAGAGGGGTCACCTTCCCTGCATGCCTCCATCCTGCACGCTCCATGCTGAGCAAGGAGACATCAGGGAACACAGGGAGGGAAATGCCAACACAAAGCCTGTGACTGTCAAGGTAAGAAGGTGACGTTTTTTCTAACTACAGCAAGTATAAAAGCTCCTTGCCCGTATCAGCTGGGAAGGCTAAAAATAGTAATGATGTTGGCTGGGGTGCCCTGCAGGTATTTTTGCCCTGAGTTAGGGAAGAACCAAGAAGCTTGTGCCAGCACCAGTGAGGAATTGTATCCCCTTCCCTTACTGCTGTAGGGACAGCAAACACCCTGCAGGCACGAGTGCTGTAGCAGTGGCCCCAAGGGAGGGCAGCTGGTGGTCTGGCACAAGCTCTCTGGGTGCTGGCCTGTGCTTTGAACTGCTCTCAGGAAGGAAAATCCCAGGAGGGAGGGAAGCACGTGCCTGGGAGCAGGTATAGCCCTCGCATCCTGATGAGCTGTGCCAGAAAAGGGTAGGGACACTGAGGCGAGTAGTCCGTGCTCTGGCATATAATGCCATGTGCCAGCTGCTGCCTGGTCTCTCCTCTGTCCACATCACAAACCTGCTCTGTAGAAGAGTCCTTGCAGGCAGCAGTGAGCCCTGCATGCTGATTTAGGGCCATGCACAGCCCCGGTGCCACCCCGGCACCGCATGGCTGCTTAGGAGCTGACAAGCTGGCACCTCCAGTACATCGTCACCAGGGACTCCCAGCCAGGCACAGGGTGTCTGGGGGAGCTCCCTGCCCGCTGGGACTGGGCCAGCCCAAAACCATCCCTCTGCAAGGAAGTACAATGAGCACCAACGCCGTGCTCTGCGTGGTAAATGGTGAGGAGCAGCCTGGCCTGCTGCTGACCTGGGCACCTTGGGGCAGGATGGCATTAATTCAGCCAAGGGCCTGAAATAAAGGGGAGCAGGTGCAGCAAACCTGTGCCAGGGACTGTTCCTGTGAAAGCAAGATGCTAAGAGGATTTTAGGATCCACTGAGCTCCCAGTGCAGTGCAGTGTGAAACAAGCTAAGGTGCTCTGTGGCCATCCCTGGCAAGGGGGTGAGTTTGTCCCTGCAGCTCAGAGCAGCTCAACACTCTCTTCTTCCCATCTGTCCTATATGTTCCCAGCAGCAAGCTGAGTCCTCTGCTCTGTCACAAGCAATTCCCTTTTCTGCACATCCCCAGCCCATCCGATGTCCTGGAAACACCTTCCCGTGCCTGCAGCAAGGAGTGACATTGAAGAGTGGAGCAAGAGCACGGGGGATCCCCACATGGTCCACAGGCCTCAGCGCTGCCCTCTGCAACAGCTCTGAGGGGTGCAGGATCAGGGCTCTGCCTGCACCTGCCTCCAAATGCCCCAAGATCCCTTGCAGACCTGCAGGAAAACCTTGATTTTTGTTTAAAACAGCCTATTTCTACACCTTGCAACCGCATGAAAAACACCAAGTGATGACTCCTACTAGAGCTGCTATTAGAGAGGAAAAAATAACCCAATTCCCATTCATTTTGCTTTTAATTCCTGTTCTTCTGAGGGAGTGGTGCTCGTCCTCACTGACAGTGGCACCAAAGATGGCTGGCTACTCTGTCACACCCCACAGCTGCCATCCTTCTCCCAGGCCCTGGGCTCCAACTCCCTCTTCTATAGTGTTCCCAGTTGGAAAGGCATTTCAGTGATTGCTGGGGGAGGGTGTATGCAGAGGGAGGATGATCCTGCTGGGGCTGGGGTTCTGGCCCCGGGAAAACTAACATTTCTTGGCTTTTACAGCTGGTTCACGGCTTCCCGCTCCTCAGTGCTCCCTTGTCAAGGTCCTCTAGAAATGAAACAGGCATCTCAAGGGCTTTTGATATCCTTGCAAAAGAAATTAATCAAAGGGAATGTAACACTATGACTCAGGCCTCAACACAAGAGGAAACTCCTCCAGGCAGGATAATGTTTCCGAGTACAAGGTGCATTTAACTAATTTGTCTGAGTAGCCCCATGTTTGCTGAGCACCACAGCTATCCCAGCACTGCACCTGTCCTGAGCAGCTGTGCCTGCAGGATTAAAATCTGATTTTTTAATCACTTTTTCTGTCCAGTTTAATCTGCAGGTGTGGGTGAAGATTGGCTTTAACTGCTGTTGCCTGCCATGGGTGGAAGAAGCTCAGGACACGTCCTGCAGATGAGAGATGCAGCCTCCCCCTGAGCACAGGCACACAGAGCATCACACCACCCTAGGACACGCAAACTGGAAAATGTGGGGTAACAGGGGAAAAACAGTAACCACTGGGGCCCAAAGGGGCTTGTTAAACCTGTTAAATCTGGTGTGAGCCCCAAGCCTATGGGGAACAGGGGCTGGGCTGTGATACTGGGGTCTGGAGTGGCTGCTTCTCACTAGAAAACGTTCTGAGAGCTGAGCACTAAAGGGAAATGGGACAAACACAGCCCCCCTCCCTTCCCATAAAAGCTGAAATCCCTCAAAAATAAATGAACACTAAGGGCAGCGTGCTCAGGACGAGTAGCACCGGCCATTTACACAGACACGAGCTCCCTTACGGCATTTTGCTCCACAGGCTGTTTCCGTGCCAAAAAATCAGCAGGATTCAGAATAGAGTTATGAGTTTGTATGAATCAGAACTGACAGTTACTTTATCTGGAACAACGGTTAAGGGATGTAAGCTCCAGGACACGAGCGGCTCCGAAACGCGCGGCTCAGCCCCTCCCTGCGAGTACACAGGCACATTAACAGCCGCTACGGGAGGGGCGCGCTGCCGTGCAAGCCCCGGGGCTGCTGCCGTGGAGCACACGGCGCTGGCTGGATGCAAGAAATAGGCTGAATCCCTGCTCCTGTCCCCGCTGCAAGGCAGGAGTGGCAGTGGAAGGAGGGGGGAGTCTTCAGGAAAGCTTTTCTGGGGGCCGGAAGAGGGTAATTGATCAAAGGCTAAGTTTTTTTGAGGTGATGTAATTTTTGCTGCAAGGTCAGCAGGTGGAAGTGGTTCACCTGAAAGACCATATTTTGGCTTGAGGATACAGGATAGAATCACAGAATCACGGGGTAGTTAGGGTTGGAAGTGACCTGTGGAGATCACCCAGTCCAAACCCCCTACCGAGGCAGGGTCACCTAGAGTGGGTTACATAGGAATGCATCCAGATGGGTTTTGAATGTCTCCGGAGAGGGAGACTCCATGACCTCCCTGGGCAGTCTCATTCCCAGCAGCTGTCCCAGTTATGCTCCAAGCTGGTTTGGAGCAGTGCTATCTGCCTCGTATTTTTTCATTATGAAAATCCATTAATGACTTTTATATCCATGAAAACAATTGTTTTGAAACCTCAAACTCTGAGAGGAGTTGGCTCTCCAGCAAGTCCCAGTCAGGAAGATGAGCCTGTCCTGATGTGGCTCAGCAGAGTCACCACATCACTGCCAGCACCAGGGAGGGTTTCAGGGCTGTGGTGCTGGGGCCAGATGCTGCTCTCCCTTGGGTCTGAGGCCACATCCCCATACCACACAGCCCAGCAGCTGGCAATGGGCTTCCTCAGCACTCCTCTCCTTGACGTGCCAGAATGATGCCGTGCAAGGGGTCCCCACTCAGAGGCTGGCAAATGCAGCTGAGATGCAGAAGATGAAGCCACTGCTCAGGGCTCTGCCTCTGCTCACAGCCCTTGGAAGGGCCTGTCTGAGAGGTGAGTGTAGCTCTGAAGGAGTCTCCCAAAGGAGAAAAGGGCTCAGCTGGATATGTATTATCACACTGTCCATCAGGTAAGGTGCCTGGACACGGCATAGTGAACTCCAAAGTGCTAAGATAAGGACAAACCCCAAGGCTACTGTCAAAGGCATGGCCCTGGGTGTCATGCATCCCTTGGGAAGCTGGAAGGTCTCACCACACTGACTGCTGGACCTGAAGCACAGAGAAACACCTTAAAATGTGGCCAGTTCATTCCTACATGCAAGAGGGATGGTGTGCTCAGCCGGCTGCCTCTTTTGACCCTCAGTAGACTGTAAGTACAAAACTGAAGACCCCCTGGAAAGGGAGCCCTGGACCCACTCAAAGTGACTGTCCTGATGGGAAGTGTGTGAACACAGTGTCCCACAGAGGTGGCTGGGCTTTCTTAGTCCGGATTAGTGCTGGGCACCAAGACAAAGCTTGGAGTTAACTCACAGGGTTACTGTGTCTTATGCTACAGCAGAGGATCAGGGAATCAGAGGAAATGCTCAGACTCCTGGGCAGCCTCCCCAGTACATGGTGGTGGTGTTGTATTCCTATGCTCCAGTCTCCTGCAAATGGATCCTAAGGGGCATTGCCATCACAGCCCACTTCTCTTCAAGTAAGCATCATCCTGTGGGACTTTCTGAAGGAGCTGCTTCACTAAATTTGAGTACTGGGGTGGCATCAGGTGCTGTCAGTCACACAGTTGTTGACGTGCTCATGTTAAGGGCCCATCTCTGGTTTTGTAACAGAAGGATTTAGCAAAATCTCGTTTTGCGTTACTGGGATTTTGAACAGGGCAGATGGCCACGTTCTATTTGCGATAAAGCAGAGCCTTTCCTCTTAATTAGATCCAGTTTCTTCCTAGGGGGGCAGTGGCTTTTGAGCTGGAGCTTTCTGTCAAGCTCTAATTAAACTCTGCCTTGATTGTTGTCCACTAATTAGACATTGATGATTTAAACTTTTTTTTTTTTGAAAGAGATCCTGAATTCCTCATCCTCCTCCCGACACTCCTGCAGAGCCCATCCCGGCAGAGCCCATCCATGCCCACACTCAGCAGTCCTGTACTCTGCACCGGCCATCCCAGAGGAACAAGGTGGGGACACCTCTGCCCCATATCTCTGCCAGTTCCCTTGTTACCTAGTTTTCCCCAGTGAGACCAAGAGACTTTGGGTCTCACTGTTGCTGTAGTAGTGCAAGTCCTCCTTCAACTAAAACGTCACCAAGGCAGGAGGAATGTCCTTCCCTTCTCTGCCCCTCCAAGCCCTCTCCTCTGGCACAACCCTCCAACCTCCCAGGCAGGTGAACCTCCCAGGTTTGTCACCATGCTGTGCCAGAGCCTGCATCAGGCTGTGTACTGCCCTACTCATGAGATCTGGCCCCTGTGTGCTCTCCATGGGTCACAGCAGCTCCTCCTTCATGCACAAGGTAACACATCCACCTGCGGCCGTCTCTGACATGCCCATGGAAGTTCAGCCCTGCCCAACACCCCAAGATGTCCCTGTGGGACACACCACACCACGACCTCTGTGTCCTGGCCCTCCCTGACAGGGACACCAGCCTGTCCTGTAGGATAGGAGCTCTCTTGTGCTGCCCTGTCTCAGGGAAGAGTGCAGGGACAAGTCTTGATTAATGCTGCCTTGGACCTTCCCCAGCACGGAGAGGCCACGAAGCCGTGCTGCTGTGGGAGAGCTCCGAGCCAGCCTGGCCCAGCTGAGGCCAGAGGAGCTGGTCCATGGCCCCACCGAGCCACACACTTGGGGTTCTCAAGTGCCACTGTGAGCAACGCACGTGTAACCACAAGGCGCAAAGTGTGAGCAGGGACAAGCCCCAGGGCGGAACGAGGGGTACCCAGAGCTGACAGCACAGGGTGCTGCTGTGGCCACCAAAACTTGAGCCAGGGCAGGACAGGAGGAAATGAGGAGGGAGCCCAGAGCTGCCCCCAGTGCAGTGCCCCCCACCACACAGCTCCCTGTGCAGCAGCAGCAGCCGGGTGCTCCAAACCACTTGATTAAGCTGCTGACAATCATCAGTAGGATTTGGGCTCTGAGCTTGCTTTAAACTGATAAATCTTCAGGACAGGGAAAATTAAAGATGAGGGAATTTCCTGATAAGCCAAGGCAGCTCCCGGTCTGGCTGTGGTCCTGATCTGGGTGAGGAGAGGTCAGGCTTTCCAGCCGCAGCCAGCTTGCAAGGGAGGGAGCTGGGCTGGCTGCAAGGGCCTAGCACGGAGGGGCCATATCCTTCCACATCAGTGACTGGGGCCCTGCTCACAGAGGGGACAGACTGGGTCCTTTCATTAGGAATAAGGGCTGCTGTGGGTCCTTCCAGTGGAAGTTCTATTCACACTTTGTATGCAGTGGAGAGAGTAACAGTGTCTGTCCACACTTCATAAAACTGGGCAGAGAAGGAAGTGAAGGATCCCCCCCACCAAGGAAAGCTCAGCATCAGTTCTCAGGGTCTTTCTCCAAAAAGGGCAGAACCTCTGTAAGGACAGCCTGGAGGTCTGTGCACAAGGGATACTCGGGATTCTTACCAATAGAGGCATCAGGTCCCCTTCTGGAGAAAGGTTTGGATTATTGTATGGTGCAACTTTGAGGAGTGAGTCTATAAGGGTCTTAGGGCACATCTACAGTGGGGTTTCATTTGTGGAGGGAGCTGAGTAGAATCTATAGACAGGGACACTTTTGGGGGCAGTGACTGGGCTTGAGCCTGTGGTCATGTCTGAGGAGACATCAAGGCGTGTGATGTCCCTCTGTGGGAAACACTGGAAAGAGCTCAGAGAGGCTTTCCTCACAGCTCTTTCATGATGTGGGAGGGAGGGGGCCTGGGCACAACAAGTCTTTAAGGGGAGGCTGAAGGGTCTGTCTGTGCACAGGTGCTTTTACAGGGCTGGGGGATCCATGCATGGGCCCCTGCCAGTGATGGGCTTCCTTTAGGGGCTGGGGATTCCCCTGAAGTGAGTCCCCCTTGGGGACAGGCTTGCTCAGGGATGTCCCAGGGCTGGTTTGACAGAAAGGCTAGTCCCTGATGTGAAGTGTCCTGGAGTGTATGGGTCCCCAGGAGCCTGGTCCCAGGTCCAGTTGTCCTAGGCCATCTTGCAGTTGATTCTGTGGGACAGTCCCTGTTGTAGGGTGTCCCAACACTGGTCCCTGACTGGGGTGTCCCAAGGCTGGTCCCTGGCCCAGGATGTCCCAAGGTGCTCCAAGGCCAGTGCCTGGCTCAGGTGTCCTGAGGTATTCCAGGCTGCCCAGGTGTGGCCCAGGGCCAGTGCCTGTTCCAGGGTCCTCTGCAGGGGGGTCCCTGATCCAGCTTTCCTGTTGCGTCCCAGTGAGCCCTGTGGTTCCCTGGAGTCAGGCCTTCCCGGGGAACCGCAGGTTCCAATGCCCAGAACAGGTGCACATCCCTGGTGCTCTGTCAGTGCCAGTACCTGGCCTGAGTGTCTCAGGAAGCCCTGGAGTGTCCTGAAGACACTTCTTGCCTGGCATGCCCCATGGCCTGACAGTGCTTGTACCCTGCCCAGCTTCCTTGAGCAACCCCGGTGTTCCTTGCAGCCAAACTCTGCCTGGGGAGCCCTGGGCACCAGTGCCAGCACCTGTTCCTGGTGCTCTGTCAGTGTCACCGCCTGCCCTGGGTGTCCCAGGAAGTCTTGGGATGTCCTGGGCCTGGCTCCTGGATGGGATACTGTATGGTTACTTGTACCTGGTACTTGTACCAGAACCCAGCTTTCTTGGGCAGCCCTAGTGTTCCTTGTGGCCAGGGGATACTAGGGAGCCATGGGTGGCAGTGTCCCGAACTGGTGCCCATTCCTGGTAGTCTGTCAGCACTTGCACCCGGCCTGGGTGTCCCAGGAAGCCATGGGGCTGGATCCTGGAACCACGGCCAACCCCTGGCTTGGACCCAGCCCAGCTTCCCTGAGCAACCTCGGTGCTCCCTGCCGCCAGGGACACCCACAACCAGTGTCGGGTCCTGGCGGAGTGCCCCACACCCGGCGCTGCCCACATTCCCCCCGCCCCTCGCCCGCCGCCAGGCCCGGGGCAGGCCGGTGCTCCCGGTGCCGGAGTGTACCTGCCAGCAGCTGCATCCAGGCGCAGATCTTGTAGACGGTGGCGGTGTTGCAGAAGAAGAAGAGGGCGAAGCAGGTGATGCAGCCCAGCGTCAGCACCATGGAGAGCAGCACGAAGAACGCGGCCGCCTGGAAGGCGCCCGAGGGGATGGTGCTGAAGTCGGTGAAGGAGCCGCGGCACGACAGCTCCCGGCCCGCCAGCCCGCTGCCCACGCAGTAGTGGAACAGCCCGAAGTACCCGGGCTTGGGCGTGTTGACGCTGTCGCCCACCCAGTAGGGCTGGATGAAGACCACCACGTTGATGATGGCGAAGCAGATGGTGAAGATGGCCCAGAGCACGCCGATGGCGCGCGAGTTCCGCACGTAGTTGTCATGGTACAGCTTGGAGGCTTCCTGCGAGGGCAGCATCCTGCCGGCCACCACTTGCCGGAGGGCGGGAGGGGCCGGGACGGCGGGGGCCCGCCCGGGGTCGGCGGGGCGGGGGCCGCGGCCTAAGAGCGCCCGCGGGCTGCCGGGCCCTGCGACACCCGCGCCGCCATCTTGGCTGCCGCCTCTGCGCCCCGCGCGCTCCCGCCACAGCGCGCGGCCGCGCGCCCTCGCCACTGCGGAGCCGAGCCCGAGCCCTGCCGAGCCCGGCCGTGCTAGCCCAGCCCAGTGCACCCAGCGCAACCAGCCCAGCCCAGTGCAACCCAACCCAGCCCAGGCCCAGTGCAACCCAGCGTACCAGCCCAGCCCAGCCCAGCCCAGCCCAGCCCAGCCCAGTGCAACCCAGCCCAGCCCAGCCCAGCCCAGCCCAGCCCAGCCCAGCACAGCCCAGCCCAGCCCAGCCCAGCCCGAGCCCAGCCCAACCCAGCCCGCCACGCGCGCCCCCCGGGGATCGGGCTGCTCCCGATCCTTCGGCTGCGCCCGCCTCGGGCTCGGCTGGGCTCGGGTCGCCTCATGACGGGCAATGTTCGGCACGGCTCAGCTCGGCACGGCTCAGGTCGGGTCGCCGAGCTGGGACAGAGCCGGTGCCGGGCCCGCCCCACTCCCCAGGGGCCGCTCCCTGGTCCGCCCCTGCCCGGGGCAGCGCCTGGGCATGGCCCGGTCAGTGCCGGCGGGTCCCCGCGGGGGTGCGTTTGGCCGGAGCGCGCCCGCAGCGAGCGCGTCCATCCTCCCTCAACCCCCGCGACCCAGCGAGTGTCCGGCGTGGCCCGCGGGGCGGGCAGCAGAGCTTCCCCACCCGCTTGGTGGGGACGGAGCAAGCTGAGTTGCCGCCACTGTGGCACTGGGACAGCAGGACCTGACCCAGAACCTCTCGTGTGACAGTGCAGGGCCAGTTACACGGCTGTGCCAGGTCAGGTGTGGTGACAGGGCCGGGGTACACAAGGTGCTGCAGGTCAGGTGTGGTGACAGGGCCGGGCTACACGGCTGTGCCAGGTCAGGTGTGGCGGGCTGTCGGCCTGAGACACTTGTATGCCGGCAGTTGCCCTGCAAAGTCCTGCCCCCGCCCCGGCAGCCTCCCACTGGGTCCCAAACCCAGCAGAGACCAGACCACCTCGGCCCAGTTTCTTTCTCAGGGTGGCGAGATGCACCGCCTTAGCTGCACTTAAACTCGGCTGTCATAAAATGCTCCAGGGGCCTCATTCTCTTCCAAGTCTTGTCAAGATTCGCAGCTGGTTTGCAAGTCAGACAAACGCGGATGAAAACCACTTCGTGTTCTCCTGCAAGAACCAGGGTCCCGCGGTACCGCCCATCCCGCAGCTCCGACCGGCACTGGCTGGGTGTGCGCGGCCACACCTCGGCGGGGATTCTCACTGAAGCGCAGCGCCCTGCGCACGCCTAGACAGCCTTTGCGCCGTGTTTCTACGCGCGGGTCGGAGCGCAGCCCGCTCCCCCCGAGCGGTCCGGCTGCCCCGGGGCGGAGCGCGGCCCGGCGCTCAGCGATGACGGCGGGAGCGGGCGGAAGGGGCGGTGGCGGCGGGCGGAAAGCGGCGGGCGGGGCGATGGGCCCGAGGCGGCGGCGGTGAGCGGCGCGGCCATGGCGGCGGCGGCCCGCGGCTGCCCCCCGGCGGGCTCCGGGGACCGCGCCCTGGCCGAGCTGCTGCTCGAGTTCTCCCGGGCACAGTACCGCGCCAAGGACGGCGGCGGCGCCGCCGCTGCCAAGGTGAGGGCACCGGGGCTCGGGGGGGGAGAGGGAAGGAGCGAGGTTCGGGGGTCCCGGCGCGGCGGGCACTGAGCGGTGGCTCTGCGCAGGTGGAGCGGATCGAGCGGCGGTGCCTGGAGCTCTTCGGCCGCGATTATCGCTACAGCGTGATCCCCAACCTGCACGGCGAGGTCTGCGCCCACTACCCGCGCTACATCGTCCTCCTGGAGCGCGACGCCGGCCGCGACCCGTAAGGCCCCCGGTCCCCGTGTCCCGCCGGAGTAGTGGTGGTGGTTGGTGGTTGTTGTTGTCTCGAGTAGCTCCCGCGCCCGCCGCTGCTGTCCCGGGGCTCCCGCCGGCCGGGGGAAGCCCTGCACTGCGCTAATTATAGCCGGCGGTGTCACCGCTCCAGGGGCTCCCCTCGCTGCCTCCCGGGGCTGCCGCGCTCCTGCGGGGCTCCTCCCAGCGCCCCGGGGCTCCTGGGCTGCCGTGGTGAAAGCTGAGCCTGTAACGATGGGTGTGAAGGAAGCGCCGGTGCTCCAGGGCAGCGCCAGCAACGCTGCATGCGGCCCTGGAGTAAAGGCGAGCATAGCGCTGGGTCCTGGTCGTTGCTCTGCTGCAGCTCGTCCGAAGGCTCGAGGCTGAGAGTGAGGCTGTGCGATGCTCACCCTCTCTTGATGAAGTGCCCGTGGTCTCGGTGCAAGGCCTCTGATGCGGGGAATTTTAGTCTGCAAAGCATCTCGGGGCATGGGGTCTGATAAGGACTAGGCAGTTGAGGCATTTTGGACAGATATTTCTGTCATTCTAGGCTGTTTCACCTCTCCCCACCGCGGAGGGCGGGTCAGTGGGCGCTGAGGTTTAGTGAGTTAACGGGAAACGCTTCCTGGCAGTTTGGTGCATGTCTCAGCCAATGCATTTCTGGACTTTGACCCACAAGCCCAGGATCACGTTGGTCTCACGTTGCTCCCTACAGCTCCAACCACAGATCTGTTTTATTTTTTCCTCCAACAAGACGTAATATAGTTTTGCAGTCTTAACTGCATGTCAATGATAAGCATAATGTGTTCAAAAAATGGTCACCAAGTCCCCTTCACATGTCCAGCTGCTTTGCCTGAGGAAGGCAAACCATCACCTGCTTTGCTGGCACACGGGCTGGGTGCTGTAGAAGAGAAAACCAGCCACAGCTGACTGTCAGGTGGGAGAATTTCTGCTTGACATATGAGAATTCATGCTTTTTAGATTAGAAAAGATTAAACCCCTTGCTGCAAAAAACAGGAAACTGAAGTCTGAAGCTGTAAATGTAACTAGGGAAGAGAAACCGAATGCTTCTGCTTTCCTGCTCTTGCAAGAGGAAAGGATGCTTAATTTTTCTGACAGTATTCAAAACAAAGAGTATTTACACTTGATGCCCCATTTTCTTCTGTGACTTGTGCAAACCAGGAGTGGCAATGAACTTTTTTAAGACTCATTCTTTCCAAGTCTTGATGTGCTGTCCCAGAGAGTCACGGAAACAGACTACATTTTATCATGCCTCTCCTGATTTCTGGGTGATGCTCTCTGTAAAAGCTGCTAAGTGATCTTTAGACAAATTCAGGTTTTAGTTTCATTATTGTACTACTGTGGAATAATTATTATAGAGACTGTTGTATTTCTTGTGTTACAGAACACGAGAACCTCTTCCAGTGAGCAGGACAGTCCCTCTAGGACTGTGTGTCTTTGGCTGCCTTTTGTAGAACAAAAGAATGATTTGGGTTAGAAGGGACCTTAAAGATCCCTGGTTCCATCCCGCCTGCTCTGGGCAGGGACACTTCCACTAGACCAGGTTGCTCTGGGTGCCATCCAGCCCAGCCTTGGACACTTCTGCTTTCATCTTTTTAATGTTCTTATCAGCTGCTAAGATCTTCTTGAGGCTTCACACCTCTGAGAATACTAAAGTGTTTTATAAACAGTTTTCATGTATGCAAACACTGTGCTGCCTTGTTGGTTCTGCTGGTACAGCTGTTTCTGGAGCATATGGGGAACCAGCCAAAAATGGATACTTTTGACCCAGATCAGTTTCCTGATCCTATTTCTTTTGTGACTTGGCAGCTGGGGGAAGAAAGAATGTTGCTTGGTCAAAGTTTGCTAATACTACTCTGAAATCCAGGCAGTTGCAGGAAGAATTCCATGTATGTTTTTAGTCTCCGTGTCCCTTGATCAGGTACTGATTGTGAGGAGTCACAGAAAGTAGCAGAGTGTGTCTGATACTCAGGAGTCCTTCCCTGTGCTTGGAAATCTCTGATGTCACCTCACTACTGAGTACAAGGGGACGATCACTACCCTGGTCCTGCTGGCCACACTGATAAAAGCCAGGATACCCTTGACCTCCTTGGCCACCTGGACACACGCTGGCTCATGTTCAGCATGGTCTCTACCAGCACCCACAGATCCTTTTCCACTGAGCAGCTTTCCAGCCCCAACATAACTTGGAAGTTACTGTGATTGTGCTTAATGAAAATGTCCAAATCTCAGTCACGGGCCACATCTATGGTTTTACAAGGTGATCCTGTTATGTGTCTGCACTATAAACAAATATGATCACAGTTGTGTGTAATCTAGCAACATAAGAGGAACACTTTGGTTCCAGTACTGTTGTGGTCACCCAAAGAGGAGCATCTCTGCTTGAGACCTATCTAAGATAGTTGCCAAAACAGTTGCTTGCTCTTAAAGGACATGTTTCCCTTGCATTTAAAAAGATTACTTTGGATTTGGGGTCTGATTTTGGGTGGAGGGAGGTCAAGAGGTAATCTTTGCCCAGCAGTGTCTTCTGGAAAACAAAATTCTGAAGAACACCACCCCCCATTACACCTCAAACACCCAAAAGTAAAAAAAAAAGTCAAGATACACGTCATTCTTTCTGCCTTATTCTCTGCCTTGTGCCAAACAGCCTTAATGATGCTCTTTCAGGTTGCTGAAGAGTGCTGTTTTCTGAACCTTTTCAGTAGATTTTACTTCTACTTACATTGCATTTAATCACTAGTCCCTGTAAAAGCATTACACCTGTTCTTCAGAGTAGGTCAGCCCTCCCCTTACTACAGTAGTCTCAGTCCAAGTGTGTTTGTTTACCATGTTTAACCTCTAGTTTATGTTTATCTCTCGCTTTACTGATGGTGGTTATTGAGATGAGAAGATCTGAGAGCTGTGTTTGTAGCACATCCATAACAGGTAGCAGAGCAGGTCTCTCCAGTGCGTGTGCAGCCGTGTTGTGCCTGGGAGAGGGGCTCATTCTTCTGTGTCCCCAGTGGGGTCTTGGATTTCCTGCTTGCCCCATGCCCTGGGTTCCTGCCAGGCTGCTCGGTCTCATTCCTCAGTGCTGTGATGCCTCTCCAGGGAAGTGCAGTGAGCGTGCTGAGAGGTGAAACCTGTTATCTTGTCT